CCCTATCCTATTACCTTTTAAATGTAAAGAGGCAATGTAATAAATGCAGACCATGTAATCACACTGTAACAGTGGGTAATTTTTTCCCCACGGTCCACACGTGGTCCCTCAAGTCACTTCCAGTTTTTTGGGGGGAAAAGTGCTCCCTGAGGTACTGTAAAACAGATTGTTGAGCTGTAACATGCCCCCTCACCCCTCAAGTGGTCCAAAATAGACAATTGTACCCCTACAAGCTTATTGAAAGTTTGATTAGTCAGTCTTAGGCCACTTGGTGGCTAGAAGTGGGGTTTGGGGCTCTATAAATAGAGGGCTCAGGATGGTTGCAGCTCTCTGAGGTCTTGGAGAGTTGATATATAGACTCCCGACCCCTAGAGATTCCCTCCTCCATGTGGTATCCAGCAGCATCAGAAAATACAAGATTTATTTGCCATCGGTCTTGTTTCAAATGTGGTGCCATCAGTTCAACAGTAGCTAAACTCTTCCGAGGACACTGTAGCATTTGAGCAATTCTCCAGAGGTGAGCTTGTTCCTCTAAAAAAAAAATCTACTCTGAGAATTGTTTGGATTTTTTAAAATGACGGCTCTTAGAGCCCTGAAAAAGGGAAAGAAAATGAGTGTGTGGATGTGTCCGTGCAAGAAAGAGAGGGAGAGGTGAATACTCTTTCTACTGGTCTTAAGGACCTTGCATTATATAGAATAATACATTTGAGTGGCATTTGGATTTTTCTGGATAATTATTAATTTGCCCTAATTTTGCGCCAAAGAACTTATTTTGGTTCATGATTGAAAAATGATTTGAACCTGGTTTGGATCTGATTTTATTCCTGTATTGTTTATTATTGTTGTTACTGTTTAATTTATTGTTATACTTTTGCTTTGATCTCATTTGATCGTTAATCACCAGGAATAGTGCTTTGCACTAATTGGGTGGTACAAAGGTCAAATAAATAAACAAATAAATTCTCCCAGTCCTAATCTCATTATTGATCTAACCATTAAACTACGCCACTTCTCTCACATTTCCCCTAAAAATAAATAGGAAAATCTGCTTTGGGCACTAAAAACTCTTGGCAAGGGTGGAATTCTGTCCCCAAGCGTTCCAAATTCTTTGATCTGTCTTGTCAGTGTGCAACATAATTATAGCTACAGACTACAAAGCTAGTCTTATCTGTTTGGCATTGTGTGGTCGGGTTTGATCAGCTTTGGCAATATTGACAAAAAAATTCCTGTCCAGCAAAGTAGCTCTCTAGAGTTAACCTGCCCTACTTGTTTCCTTCTTTCCCCCTTTCCAGATCCTCACGATCATAATGCCTGTTCAACGGCCATCTCTGTTGCCATGAGGTCCAAGGAGAAAGTTTGGAAGCATGTTTGCCTCTTTGGTTGAGGGGGACCCAACCGTGACATTGCCCTAGGGATCCCTCACTCCTCAAGGAGACCCCAGGATGAGGAATGGAAATCCAGCAAGGGGCGGGAGATGGAAAATCCAGCCCTGAAGGAATGGTACTGGACTTACTTGTTCAAGAGTAGCAGTCTTGGCACCATGAAGGTTTTGTACCCAAATTAAAATGTGTCCATCAAAGCCATTTTGTGGGTGCGTGCAGGCATGTGCTGAATGTTGCCAGGAATGGTAATTTCTCATTTCCCCCCAAACAATTTAAAACAGAATTAAACCAAAATGGACTTCAGTTCCCTTCTGTGTTTTTTGTTTCATTTTTTTATATTTTCACAAATTTATGGGGGGCTAGTGTGACTCACTGGAAGGACAGATCCTGAAGCTGAGGCTCCAATACTTTGGCCATCTGATGAGAAGAGAAGACTCCCTGGAAAAGCCCCTGATGTTGGGAAAGTGTGAAGAAAAGAGGAGAAGGGGACGACAGAGGATGAGATGGTTGGACAGTGTCATCGAAGCTACCAACATGAATTTGACCCAGCTCCAGGAGGCAGTGGGAGACAGGAGGGCCTGGCGTGCTCTGATCCATGGGGTCATGAAGAGTCGGACATGATTTAACGACTAAACAACGTGTGACTCCTAGGGTGGTTAAAAAAAAGCAAAACCACCAGCTTTTGGAGCTTACCCACCCGATTTTCTTTCTCTCTGTACTGTTATCTCTGTACTCTCACTGTTATCTTTATCACCTACAACTCCCCGAATTCCCTGTCAACATTGCCACTGGCAGGACTGTTGAGTGTTCCAGACCAAAAAAGTAACTTTTCTGAGCTCCATCACGTCCGAATACTTGTCTGCTTCATCCGGTCCCATCATCTTTGCTGGGTGACAGTCTCAGACCTGACGTTTTCTGTCCTGCTGCTGAAGATCCTTCTAATGGTCTGCGGGACAGGCGGCATCTTGAACGGATGACCTTCAGCCTGCAAAGCATGTCCTCAGTTGCAGCAATGGAACCTTCCAGCTGATCTTCCCTTCAGTTCTTTTAAATGTGCCTTTGCTGCTTTCTCTCCCCCCCCCTTGTCTGCATGTAGCATGCGTGCACAGAGGCGTTAGCTCTCCTTCCTCTGTTCCCAGGCTTCACCAAATGCTCCCTTCCCCCTACTGTACAGCCTGTTCCACCAGCACATGTCCATCATTGCCACCCCCGTCAGCTCCCCTCTCACTCCTTCTGTCTCCCTCGATTTTTATTTCTTCATACAACCTGTTCTCTGTCTCTCTCTCTCTCATACAGACACACATCCTCTCATATCCCTGAAGAATATGTAGAAATGACTGCAAGATGCTTTGTGGATTGAAGGCTCTGGGGCCCTAAGCTGCGCCCCACACTGGGTGTGACTGAACCTCTTTCCTAAGCTTAGGGCAAGAGAATGGAGAACATATGCTCCTGGGGTTACGTGTGCCCCTCCATGGCTTTTTTTTAACAGCTCTTCTCCCTGCCAAATGGAAGTGGTAATCCTGTGGCCCCTATGCTCTACTGAACACCAAGAAATACCCATATTTCAAAGCTGGTCTTTCAGCCTCTTCGTGTTTCGTTCTTTTCTTTTTTTTTTAAGGGGTGTGGGTTTGCTTTATTTTCTTTTTGTGCACTGTGCAGTTTTCCAGAAAATCCTGTTAACAGCAAAATAATAATACTGAATTGAAATTACAGATAAACACAAAAACTTAACAAAGTTTTATTTTAATTTTTAAAAGCTGCAAAAAGTTATTCTTTGAGCATCTTAAATTCTAATAATGGTATCCGTCACTGCAATTTGTTTGAACTTTCTTTCCCCCATCTCCTGCATCCAGTTTAGGAACTACTGTATTAAGCAATATTAACCCACACCAATAGGCGTAAACATTTTCCTTGGTATTCCCCTCAAAGCTCCAGAAGAAGACTACAAGGTGTCCTCGTACTATATGCAGACCGGAAACATGGAGATGGTGTGGCTTTGATCCGTGCTTCTAACCGTCTCCTTTCTAATTGACCGTGCTGTCTAGAGGATTCTTGGAGTTGTAGTCCCAAAAAACAACCCTTAGTGAGCTTTGCTGGATCTCTTGACACTGCCATTAAACAGCTGAGAGGCAGACACCCTTCCTTTCAGATAGCAGATCACTCACTGATCTACCAAGAAACCCAGATCAACTTTCTACCTAGTGCTGCAGTGTGGAACTAAAAGCACTGGAATTGGGCCATTAAGAGTTGCTCTTCTACCTCTCCTCTCCATCAAAGGAGGGGCCAGTCAGAATATCAGGGGAAGAAACAGGGAATTTCCATCCCTCTCCGTCCCACCTTTTACTTAGGAACCAACACACCAGATGCTCTTTCTCCTCCTTTGCACATTTTGACTAAATCTCTTCTTAGAGAGAGAGAGAGAGAGAGAGAAGTGGAATAAAGCATCCAATCCAATTTCCTTAACTACCCAACCTTGCACAGCTGTACTTTGGTCTTTCTAAAGATCCTGGGATGCATTGCCAAGTTACAATTAACAAATCTTACACAGCAGGGAAAAGGAAACATTGCCCACAGAATGTCTCTCTCTGTGTGTGCTTGTGCATGTGTGCGTGTATACTTGTGTGAATAAGATGCAAATATATTCACAGTGGATGTAGTGTCAGCAGAGGACAGCAAAGAGAGAAGCGTGCAGGTTCTGTGATATTATTCCAGTCTTAGATCATCACACACACACATATCCCATTTGGTGTTTTGCATGGATCATCATGTTGTCTGTGTGAAGAACAACCACTACAGCAGAAATTCATCCACATTAACAATTTGTCTTCCAGCCATTCTTATAGTCTCTGGAATACTGGAGTGGAGGAGTGTCATCTGAAGGGTACTATGAAAAAATAACATTCCCAATCTCTGATACTGTTTGTTCCAGGCCACATTTTTCATCTAGACAGGTCTTGTCCCCTCTGGAGTTGGGCAGCCTTTGGGTTTCCATATTTTTAGGTTTCAATTCTCAGACAGTGTGGCACAGAGTTGTGCTGGCTGGGTAGCTTCGTGGCTTAGGTACTCGGCTGTAGAGTCAGAGGTTGGAAGTTCAATTCCCCCACTGTGTGTCCTGGCAGTTGAACCAGCCTGTGTGGCCTTGGGTAAGCTGCACAGCCCCCAGAAGAAGGGAATGGTAAATCACTTCTGAGCATTCTCTACCTAGAAGAAGCTGAAAAACGGTTGCCATAAGGCAGAATTGACTTGACAACAGGATGATGATGATGATGATGATGATGATGATGATGATGATGATGATGATGATGATGATGATGATGATGATGATGATGATGATGATGATGAGTCTCCCTAGAGGGCCAAAAGCTCCCTATAGCTGGTCTACAATAGCTGGCAGTGGCTGTTCAGCAACATCTTTCCCATCTTCTGGGACTTGATTCTTTTAATAATGAATGCCGTTCCTCCACATGCAAAGCCATTGCTCTGTTCATCAAGCATGTCCCCCACCATTTTTACTTTGGCCTGATCTCAACATGTCATCATTTTGCTACATGCATCGTTCTTGCTTCTTTGTCCTCCTCCTAATGAATGGACTAGCAGTTCAATGCTATGTCAGAGAGGTTCTTCCCCACTAATGTAACGCAAGTCCATGGAATCCAACCGACATCACTGCGGGCCAATGAAGGTTCTGGTGAAGGAGGACAAGTGAGAGCATTCTTTAAACTATGGATTTCCCAGGAAGTCTCCTAAGTGGCGAGGATTTGAAAGAGAGGAGGAAACGAGCAATATGATTTGACACTGGAGGAGGTGGACAACAACAACAGCAACAACTGGTGAAAGATATTTCTAGCCTGAGCTGAAATATGTATGAATTATGCACACATTTTTAAAACAAATGGTGTAATGTGTCATTACACCACAGATGAAGCCTATCTGGGAAGGTGAGCGATTGTTGGGCTAATTTTAGTGTTGCGAAACCAGGCTGTTAAATATTCTTAACTCATAGAGTCTCCTCCGTCTCTCTCCATCAAGCTCCCACCCCGAAAGGCAGCAGGGTATTTACCAATTTTCTCAAGTGTATCAGTGTCTGCACTTTATTCAGTCAGGGGCTGATACCTGGTCTTATGTCTCCCAGGGAGAGTGTGTTGCTCCAGCCACTTCCACGGCCCTTCACCTCCCCTTCCTGCTGGTTTCTGAAACATGAGGTGAGCAAGAGGGAGAGTGGAATAAAGACCCTGCCGGGCTGGCCTTGGCTTTAGCAGACCCTTAAATCTTCACTGGTCCAATATTCCTGGGTGTTTGCTCCATTGTTGCCTCATAATCTGGATTCTTTGGTTCCTCCTTACAATAAGAATGAAGTTTAGCAAGTTAGGAGGCTAATGAGTTCTGCTTCCAGTTCTTTAATGTGCACCTCATGAGCAGGACTTCAAAACAAAACAAAAAAAAACTAGGCCTCACCAAATCCCCCAGTTAGCATGGCCGCTGACTGGGGGATTCTGGGAACTGTTGTAAAAAAAACAACACCCCACTTCTTGAAGCTCTGGTTACAAAGTGCATTCTTTTTTTAGCACCTGGGAATCAGAAGTTTGTTTTGGGTGTCATTATTCCCAGCATTTGGAAATGTTCAATTTTTGGACTACCATGCTAGTGGAGGGTTCTGGGAATGGTAATCCAAGGAAGAAATTTCCCCAAACTCTTGTTATTCTTATGGAGAAACTAAGAGTCTTGGCTTCCTTCAGCATGAAAGAGTCCATTCTCCACCAACTGTAAAAGCATGCTGCTTAGACGACCCTATGGCACTGAAAGCACTCTGGGAGGTTTACAAATTAATTATTCAGGCTACACATTGCCCCCTCCCACCTCAATGAGCTGGGTATTCAATTTATTGACTTCAAAAACCCACCTCAATGAGCTGGGTACTCAATTTATTGACTTCAAAAAGATGAGCCAGCTACCTGGGATTGAACCTAGGCAGTGAGCAGAGTTTTGACTGCAGTACTGCAGTTTAACCACAGTGCCATGAGACTGTAGTCTGTAGTTTTTTACTTTATGATTTGGATGATAGCAGGAAGGGTCTTTGTCTGCCAATCTTCTGCTTGCATCTAAGTTCTCACAGCTTGATTTCCTGTAAGTCAGCTTCCAGTGTTTCTAAGCACAGTTTTGTCATCAGTCCTTGGCTGGTCATTATAGCTAGACCCTGGGAAAGTGTATTTTTCCCTAAACTACAAATCCCAGAAGGCTCCACCCCATGGTGAAGATGGTTAGAGGATTGTGGAAACTGTTTTCTTTTTT